TCTTCAAGTGGCCAAGGTCGAGAAACACTGCCTTAGTGCCTCTTCATCCAAATTTTTCCTTGAAGTGATGTTTCCCTTTTCCTTCCAGGAGCTGGGACCCATTGAAGAGATAGCCCTGGATTTCTCCGAGGGGGAGGAGTCACCATCAAACGAGGCTGATGGGGAGGTTGAGGACAGAGATGTTGGTTCCCTGGGTGAGAGTAAATGAATTTTTTCTTCCCCTCCTTTTTTGGAAAAAAGCACGGTTCTTTCCTGTAATAATCCATCAACTTTGCAGCAAACCCTACCAATGAGAATCTGAAATAACAGAACAAAAAATTGGTGGCCACAAGCAAGAAAATAGGAGCGGAATGATGCCTTGTGTAGCTGGGTATCCAGATTTTTGGTATATGTATGTGTATATGCACACATATGCGTATGGACGTGTACCCCCAGGACTGCTCTGCATTTGAGCTGAAGGATCGAAAAGGTGTCAACTCCGGGGTTACCCAATCCCAAAGGTTAAACATGATGGAGCTTTTCAACATGTATCCTGACTTGTAGTCCGATCTCATATTTCAAAGGGCTTTATTTGCATATAACTTAAGGGAGGCAAAAACTGCCAACTCTCCCGCCCCCCCTTTTTATTATTTTACTTTTCTGACAGCCTACGAGGAGGAGATGAAACTAAGAACTTTCTCCCACTAGCCTCCTTCAATAAGGCTGCAATAAATATGGGATCTCTGATATAATATTCTGAGAACAGTGCCCCTCAGGCTCCTTGTCCACCCAATGGCTGATAAATTGATTAAATAAATCAACAAAGGGGGAAGAAGCCATGCTAGTTGGCTGGTTTAGCCTAACACTGCTTTTCTTTTTATTATTTTTATGTTAATACCATATTTAATGTTTCCTTTTGGTTTTTGTGGGTGCAGGGTGGACGTGCAGTAACGAGAAGATGGCCCACGCTGAAAGTTTTGATCACATTTTGAGCAAGACCCTGAAACGGGGGAGACCGGAAAACAAAGCTTCTCACTTTGGGGACCAGGAAGATGCTTTGGAGGGGTGGTACCGAGCCGAGAGGAAAAAAGGAAATACCTTGCAAGAGAGGGAGGAAGCCTCTCTTCTGTGGGAGGATGAGGAACAGCTGGATGGTCCCAGGGATGAGCCGAGATTCCACGAAGGCAAAGACGCCTGTCTGGTGGGTGGGTGGAGTTTCAGGCAGAGATCAGACCTTATCAAACACGAGAAAACCGACCCTTACAAATGCTCTGACGGTGGGAAGAGCTTCAAAGTGATTTCTCACTGCGTTTCCCGTAAAGAAAATGATGAAGAGAGGAAGCCCCACAGGTGCCCCGACTGTGGGAAGTCTTTTATTGCCAAAGCCCACCTGATTATTCATCAGAGGATCCACACTGGAGAGAGGCCATTTAAATGCCTGTCCTGTGGAAAGACCTTCACCCAGCGCTCGAACCTCACTGTCCATCAGCGGATCCACACAGGAGTAAAACCTTTCCAGTGCTCAGACTGTGGGAAAAGCTTTTGCTCCAGTACCAACCTCAGCAAACACCAGAGTGTTCATGTGAAGGGAAACCCATATAAATGTTTAGCTTGTGGGAAAAGCTTCAAGATTCATTCCCATTTTATCGCTCATAAAAGGATCCATGCGAGGAGGAAACTCCACACGTGTCCCGATTGTGGGAAGTCGTTCCTCGCTGCATTGCATCTCATCATACACCAGCGAATCCATACGGGAGAGAAACCCTATAAATGCTTAGAGTGCGGGAAAACCTTTAGCCAGAATGCTCACCTGAAAGTGCACCAGAGAATCCACAAAAAAGGAAAGATGTTCCAGTGCTCCGACTGTGGAGAAAGCTTCCATTCCAGGTTGAACCTTAGCCAACATCAAACCCTACATGCAGACGAGAACCCCTATAAATGCACGGAATGCGGGAAGTCCTTCCGCCTGAACTCTCACCTGATTGCTCACAGGAGGAATCACGCGGCCAAAAAACCCCATAAGTGCTCCTACTGCGGGAAAGCTTTCTTTACCAAATCCTACTTCATCATCCATCAGAGAATCCACACCGGGGAGAGGCCGTTCAAATGCTTGACGTGTGGGAAATGTTTCAGCCAGAGTTCCCATCTGAATGTCCACAAACGCACCCACACCGGGGTGAAGCCATTCCCGTGTTCTCACTGCGGACAGAGTTTCAGCTCTAGTACCAACCTCCTTAAGCATCAAAGAATCCACACAGGAGAAAATCTGTACATATGTTCCGACTGTGGGAAGAGCTTCAAAGTGCATTCTCACCTGATTGCTCATAAGAGAATGCACGCGGCCAAGAAACCTCATAAGTGCTCCTATTGTGGGAAATCCTTCTTTGCCAAGTCGTACCTCATCATCCACCAGAGGATCCACACCGGAGAGAGGCCCTACAAATGCCTGGCCTGTGGCAAAAGTTTCACGCAGAGCTCCAATCTTACGGTTCACGAACGAACCCACACCGGGAAAAACCCGTTCCAGTGTTCAGACTGCGGGAAAAGCTTCAAGGTGAGCTCTCACCTCCTCGCACACAAGAAGATTCACGAAACGAAGAAACCCCACAAGTGCTCGTACTGCAGCAAATCCTTTGTTTTCAAATCGTATTTGATCATACACGAGCGAATGCACACGGGCGAGAGACCATTCAAATGCCTCGCGTGTGGCAAAAGCTTTAGTCAGAGTTCCCACCTTAACGTTCATAAAAGAACTCACTTGGGGAAGAAGCCGTTCCAGTGTTCCGAATGCGGGAAATGTTTTCGCGTGAGTTCTCAACTCCTTGCCCACAAAACCATTCACACAGCAAAAAAGTCATACAGCAACACGAATAGTAATAGCAACAGCAACACGAATAGTAATAATAATAGCAATAGTAATAAATGCCTGGATTGTGGGAAAACATTTATTTCCAAATCCTACCTTATCATCCATCAGAGAATCCACACTGGAGAGAGACCCTACAAATGTATGGTGTGTGGGAAGTGTTTCAGCCAGAGTTCGCATCTGACGGTCCATCAAAAGACCCACCGCAGAGTGAAGATGTTTCAGTGTTCTGAGTGCGAGGAGAGTTTCAATTCCCACATGAAGTTGCTTAAGCACCAGAGGATCCATATGAAAGGGAACCCCTTCCAGTGCCTGGATTGTGGGAAATCGTTTGTCACCAAATCGCAACTCATCATCCATCAGAGAAGCCACACAGGGGAGAGGCCGTACAAATGCTTGGACTGCGGGAAAGGATTCAGCCAGAGCTCCAACCTTATCAGGCACCAGAGGATACACTCGGGGGAGAACCCCTATAAATGCTCAGACTGTGGGAAAAGCTTCTGTTCGCATGAGAACCTTATTAAACATCAGAGAATCCACACCTAAGCGAACGAAATCCCGAACGAGCTGTCTGTAAGAGGTTATGGACCATTGCACTGTATCAGCCAAGTGTGTATGGGGGAGACCATATTACCGCAAACACCACACTGCTGTTTTGCTGTCACAACTCAAGAATTTGCTGCTCATCAGACCATCAGCGGAAGAGATGAATTATGTAATTGCAGAGAAATGGGGAAACCTCTCAGGCGGAGATTCTCCCCTGTATTGAAAAGCCTGTGCTCAGAACCTGAACTCAATACTGGTTCTAAACTGAGGAGCTAAGAGTGGTCAGAATGTGTTAATCTACATGCCATCAGCCAGCTGCAGCCATTTTCAAAGAATGATTCTTAACTACCACAAGCCAAGCCGTCTCTTTGCAAAAGCTTCCAGATCATGTCTGTTAACTGGTCTCTCCAGATAAGTTTCTTCTTTTAATCTGACTTTTCTTCAGGCCCTCGGGCAGCATACAAGGGGATCTCCTTGTATTTTATCTCCACAAACAACAACTCTGCCAGGTAGGTTCAGCTGAGAGAGAGCCCCAGTCCTCCAGGGAGGTTCCGAAGCTAAGAATTGACCTGAACCTGGATCTCCATCATCCTGGTCCACCTCCATAATCGCTACCCTGCATTTATCTAGGAGTCTCTTCTGCTAGCTAGAACTTTTCATTCACCTAGCCACCATTGTCTACCCTAGAGACAGGCAATCCAGATGGACTACAGTCTCCATACGCCCAAAGATTGTGGGTGGTAGTTTAAAGCATGTCAAAGATTGGGGGTTATGACAGCTGGAGCTTAGTCTTGCTTTCTTCTGACTAGCAACAGTTCTCTAGATCTCGGGCGGAGCAGGCTCTTTCTGGTCCCCTTGTTGGCTGCTCCTTGTTATTAAAATACCAGGGATTCAGTTGGACCATCTTCAGGAAGACACGCTCCTGTCTCTGAGCTCAAAGGAGATTTTTTTTTTCACAGCTGTTGAAACACGTAGTGTGTGGAAAAACTGCATAAGTGTGGGACTTCCTAAATTCCTGTAAAAAGGGGGAAATGGCGATGGTAGGGCCAGTCCAGGAGAAAAGCCATAGAAATACTTTGTTTGTGGCTCTTGGTGGATTTTCAGGTGCCACAAGTCTAGTATTTTCTGTCAGATGTCTTAGAATCGGCACAGAACACAAGAAAGTGGATTTTAAAATGGTCTTCTGTTTAAAAAGCAAGTCTGCTGGCCAGCTTTCAGCCTCTTGGGTGTTTTTCTAAAAGTGTTTTTTTTTCAATGCATTGATGAAGTCAGATTCCAGTTGACCCAACCAACACCACCAGCGCTCTGCAGCTAAGAAAATGGTTGTGAGAATGTGTTGCTAGTGGCTAATTGGAGAAGACCCTGTTTCTCCTTGTCTTCCTCTGGAAACGTGTGGAGATCATCAACCTGTTTTCACAAGCAGTGGCAAGAAATTCTTGATTTTGCAGGTTTTGATATGGCCATCCAGCCTTCTCTGTTTGCTGCCTCCCAAAGGACAGAGACAAAGTCTTAGCAAACAACAATTTCTCCCTTTTTTTTGGAGCGGGGGAGTTGGAGTTTGTTCAGTTGCCACCTATGTCCCTGCTCAGAAGAAAGGAAGGATCAAAAAGCAGTGACAAGCTTTGAAGAAAAACTAAAAAGCAGTATAAGAAAACTTGTCATGATATTTCCCGCGTGGTCATCTCATGGGGGTTGTAGTTTTACAGCTTGAACTTCAGCCGTGTCATATTCTCTTGCCTATAAAATGGAGGCAGCCAAAAATGCCTGTCTTTAAATTGGAAATGATGGGAACCTTAAGGCACACATCCAGGTAGAAATTGTGTGGGGCAGGCCGTTCCCAGATGTGATGTCACAAAGGCATCGTCCAATCAGAAATATTGATATTCCCCAGGCTTGGTTCCCTTGTCACCCTATAGGATGTCATCTTAGGATTTTGGCTTCAGAAAGGGGCAAGAAATCTTTGCTGTGGGTGACATCATGGGGGAACCCCAGTCGGGGGCCAGGGGCCTTTATATAAGCTTCTCCCTCCCATCTCAGAAATCGTGAACAGTAGCTAGGTTCACATTTACAGTACAGTACAGATGCCATTTAAATCCGTGTTTCTCAAACTTGGCAACTTTTAAGATGTGTGGACTTCAACTCCCAGAAGTTCAACTTCAATTCCCCTGCTGGTTGGGGAATTCTGGGAGTTGAAGTCCACACATCTTAACGTTGCTAAGGTTGAGAAACAGTGATTTAAATCCTGCAAGGTGCCCCGGATTGCTAAAGTCAGATGCTTTGGGAAACTGTGAAGCATTTAAGACGTTGGGCATCTCTCTGGGCCAGGGAGGTAGACAACCCATGGCACACGAGGAGTATCTGTCCTTCCCATTTTTAATCAATCAAGGAACCTTCTCTTCCTTTGTTGATGGTTTTTGGTAGCATCCTTGCCTGTTGATGGTGATGTCCCAAATAAAGAAGAAGACCTCTTATTGAACTGAGGGGAAGTTATAGCAAAGAATAATAGGGAATGATAGCAAAGGATAGCAAACCATAGGAACTTATAGGAAAGAATGGCAGAATCACTGATAAATAATGCTCTCCAGGCTGCCAGCTGTGTCTCCCTCTCTTTTAGCTGAGTCCGTGTACTGTCTGCGCACAGTGCTTGGCCAGGTGAAGAAAGCACTAGGAGTCTTCATCCTGGCCCCCCTCCCAGAGCCCAGATATTGCCATGTTAGAAAGACTGAGAGATGTAGTGGTGATGCCAAGGGGCATCTGGGCATCCTTTCACAGCAGCTGCTGAAGGGCGCACACTGACTGATTTCATCCCTCTGTTTCCTTCAAAATAAACCAAAACGCAGCAATATAAGCAACTCTAGGAGTCCTGGGGCTTAGTGACTGTAAAAAAAAAAATGCCAACAAGAGAAACGAGAGCAAAGTTCTAAAAGAAGAGGTGGACGATTTGACATTGCAAAAAGAATACAGAACCTCTAAGGGGAAAAAACTGCTTTTTTTTGGTATTATTTGGAGCATTTCTGAGCACGGCGGCTATACGCAGGAATAGTTTGCTGGGCTTTTGAAATGGGAAGTCTTTGCACGCACAAAATACGGTATCAGCTATAAAATAGGTGGAAAGTGTTATCCATCAATGGAAAGTCAACCTCTCTCCCATCATCATCACCATAATCCAGCCTCGAGAGGCCCTTGGACACCCATCGAGGGTCCCACTACCCCTCCGTCATCCAATTCCTCTGTTCTAGTAGGAAAATCTCAACTTGAGCGCTCAGGAAAGCACAGGCAATGCCAAGGTCTCAGTTCTCCTGTCCAAATCATTGTACACCAAGTTACGCCGAAGTATGCGCCACAGGGCACCATCCTGCACAGAGGAAAAGTTGGCTAAAGTCCTGTGAAATCCACTTTGCATCTTGATGGTCTGGAAAAGCAGGGAGCAAACCGCAGGAGGGAGGAGAAGACACAAACTGAAGAAAAGTAGTTTGGAAAGGGACTTCCAGATCAGACATTTACTGTGGAAACATCCTTCCTCCTCCACAAAGTAGGATGGGGGAAAGAAGACCCCCTCAATATGGTCTTCCATTTAGAGCACGTGAGTAGCACCATTACTCCTAAGCCTTTTCCTCCTTTCCAGGGTATAAAAACACTTTTAAGATGGAAACGTTGACGGTGTCTTGGGAGCGGCAAAGCTCTCCATTGTCCATCAGGCAAAACCGAAGATAAAAGGTTGTTGTTAATAAGATCATCGGAATATTAAAATGGGAGGGGGGAAATTGGTAAAAAGGAAGGGGAAACTAAGAGTAGGAATTGTCCCAGCGCTCACAATATTGAAATGCCTTTGGAGTAGATGTTTGAAATGGAAAAGATTGCTATGACGTTGAGTTTAGGAACAAAAGGGATGCTGGAAGTAGGTGACTGTGATGGAGAATTCAAAGAAATACTGAAAAGATGTAGAAGGAAATGAGTGGGAAATGCTGTTGAGACCAGAGGATTTCCCCGTTAGAGTCGCTTATCTTTCCTGGACGTACGTTAGACAGAATTTAAGATGGGCTGTTTTGTGTCCGTTACTTTGAATAAAGTGTTTATAAAATGCTGTATGGGGAAAAAAACGGGACAGCTATAGCAACGGGAGACCCGGAAACCGCCAATTTTATGGACGCTCGAGAAGGGGATGAAAGCTTCGATGTAGTTTATATCAGATGCACAGCTTTGGCTTTCTGCAAAGAAAGAACGATATGCAACTAAAAAGAGACTCCCGTTATGGTGCCCCGCGAGTAAGAACGAAAAATCTCTTTACAGTTTGCCAAAATTAAAGAGAAGTGTAACATCTTCGTACATTTCTTGTAAGTATGAAAAATGATAATAAAATATATATCTATACAAAACTTCAGTGTGGGATGCTTGAGGGCTGCCCAAACACACACCACAGGTTGGAAAATCTTACCCAAATTCATTTCAAGAAAACCAAAATAGAAAGGACCTTCCAAATGCCGCATTCATACCCCTGAGATCGTTGTCGTGGTTTAATACGCTTCACAGAGATGTTGCAAAAGGTTTGATAATGGTGAATTCATGCAGACAAGGGGCAGTGTGGAGGGAGAGAGTTCTGTGCAGTGCAAAGTTTTCTGCGGGGGTTTATTTCATCATCAGACTCTGGCCTACAGCTGAGATTTGTCTTCCTTCTCACCCAATGGAAAATTGGAAAGAAATTATGTAAAGGGGTTGAGAACACTGTCCGACTATCTGCCAGGACTATCCAGAAAGAGAACAGAACAGGATCAAATTTAGTGTGGGGAGTGAAGCCAGCCAAAGAAAGATCAAGCTTCAAACTGGACCAGATCCGGCCAGGGGCCGCGGAGAAAAAAAAAACAGAAAAAAAGTGAAAGGGGCCGGGAAATGGCTCAGAATGTCACCACCTGCTCCATTCTAAGCCCCCTCCCTCCCTCCCTGGTCAGGTGACCCAGAGGGCAACATACACGCTTGTCCTTTTCTTCCCAGCACAACACACAAACACAGATGCAACCCAGAGGGAGACCAGAGACATGCACACAGAGGGAACACACGCACTTGCCCACGGATATGCCCACACACTTGCAGACAACATGTATGCATGCACTCTAGTTTGTCCCTGGGGAGAAAACATGCACGCATACACACACCCCGGATGCTCCAGGAGGGGAAAGCAGAAACCCAGACCCAGATCTGTTACTTCGTTTCAGATTTGAATTTTGGGATCTAAAGCACTGCTGGAATGCTCCAGGGGACCCAACAGAGTCTACCAACACCACTCATTGCAGTTGCTTCAACGGTACAGATGCACTCATTCTCGCTCGCTCCAGTGCACGCTGGCCAGGTGATATGTGGGGATTGGGGAAGGCAGGAGCACCCCTGCGGTTGATAGGATGAATCAATCCAGCCTGCCTTTTTATCCTTTGCCAGCCAGATTCCATCACGTGTCACCCCAACTGTCTCTTGGTTCACCTCTTAGGTTGCTGGATCAAACGTGGCTTGCTGCATGACAGTTAACTTATCTCTGGTTGCCAGTCCGGAGTTGTCTTCCTGATCTCTTCATTTTGCTTGCTTCTGTACATGTGAACATTCTTCTTTAGGGTCAGATTTGGGGGGCTCTACTCATCTGCTTCTCATTTTAGTTGTAACACAGAAGAAAAAGCAGATGTCTCCTATGGGATTGGAGAGAATTCCAGAAGCCAGACCCTACAGGCTTCCTCAATCCTGTTTTTCCCCTCCTGCAATTATTTAAAACCATCTCAGTTTCCTTTGTGATCAAAGTTAGGATTTAGCAGAGGATGCCTTGAAAAGGGATATGATATCTTTAGAAGTTGGACCAGGATTGAAACTTAAATTCAGCCATAAATTTCCTTGATAACGTTGTCCAGTCTCACCCAGGCTGATTCATGCAATGTCCTAATGAATGAATAAACCATTATTGGCTGGATTTACCCAACATATTGAGCCATGATACTGGCTTACACCTAGAGTGGCTGGATCTCACACCGTGTTATGCTAACATCAAATAAAACCAAACCAGCCACAATATGTTAGCCTGTTGTGTGAAATCAGTCACAGAGTGTTTTTGCCTATCCAAAAGGGCTGGTGGAATAAGAAAAGGAGTCATCCAAGAGTATCTTTTTGAAAAAAAGGGAGGAAGAGAGCAATAAAAAGATGAAAAACTTCCTCCAAATATTTTTCTCCTCTCCATCTGCTAATTGCTGGGAACCTATTGAATTAATCCGTTTTCCAGGTTTGCGCCATTCAAGAGCCCCTCCGTGACCAAAGTGAGCGACGTTCACTTTGGAGGGTGGGAAAAGGATTGTTCCAAATATACACCCAAGCCTACACTTTTCTAAATTACAGTGACGTTTATTGTTAAACAGTGCTTTTCAGGAAAATAATTTGTCCTGATTTCTCATACATACAGTGGCTTTAGCTTAACAAATGATATAGACCAGTGTTGTCCAACCTTGGCCACTTTAAGATGAGTGGACTTCAACTCCCAGAATTC